GTTCTGATGTGTATAATAATACAATAATAATGACAATTTTTTTTGTTTTATAATGTCACTTCCACTGACCGTAAAGGTTCCCAGAAAGGCCTATAAAAAGGTCCACGGACCACCAGTTGATAATCACAGTTGTAGTTTGTTTTGCGGCTCTGGAAACATTTTATTAGTGAGAAAAGGAGCACAAATGGCTCTTTTGATTGTAAAGGTTGCAGACCCCTGGTTTAGACTAAAGTCTGAACTTTTGAACCAGATTCTTACAGAACATATCTTTCCCACTAGAGTGGTTTAAAATGGTTAATAATTCTTATTTGGTATTTGCCACAATTAATCATAATTAATTGATGTTTTAATTGATGATTAATGCTTGGGTCACAAAAGCAACAGGTCCAGAAACAAACTCAGGTGATTGTCAGTCTGTTCCCAAACGTCCACATGAAGACATGCATCAGTCCTGACAGTTCTCCAGCAGCTCACCTGGATGGCTCTCTGGAAGAACTTGATGGCGATGTCGTGCTCCCTCTGGAGACTGAAGCAGTTTCCTGACACACACCAGGCCTGCAAAGACGTGCAGCGTTACCAACACAGTTATCAGCCAACCTGAGCTCACCTGAGCAGAGACTGGGAGGCAGGAGGAAAAGCACCTCGGGACAGTTCTTGTCCATGTCCGTCAGGTCTTTGGCCAGCGCCGACAGGGCCACGTCTTTCTGCAGGTGCCACAGAGTGGTGGAGTAGATCTCCATACCTTCCACGCGGTACGACTCGATCCTGCGCACCTCGCTGAACAGACGCTCCGCCTACAAACACGTCCATGAGAATGGATTTGATACAGGCAGGAGATGAAACGAGCAGCGTGTTGTGGACTCACCTACAGACAGGTAAGCCACACAGATCTCACCTGCATGTACTCGGCCAGCTCAAAGTAGGCCCTGCCGATGTGTGTGAGGACCCAGCCGGTGTTGTAGTGCTGAGGAGGCAGGGACGTCAGGATGTTGATGGCCTCTCTGCAGTTGTACAAACACAGCGCCTGGTAGCCTCGGCCCAGCTCTCGTAGCAGGGYCATCACACTGTCTGAACACAGAGGACATCATGTCAGCTGGTCCTGCTCTCAGACCAGCAGCACGGTATCTGCAGGGTATCTGCAGGTTTTAAAGGACCCGCGGACCCCTCATGGTGGTACCTGCAGCAGCCCGCTGGTACTGAGGTATTCTGGTGTCTGGCAGGCTCAAACTGGGATCCAGTCTCAGGATGTCCAGACTCTCATTCAGGTTGCTGTTGTTTGATGTCTTCGCTGATTTAACTTTGATTTTCCTGTGGGTGATCTTAGGAGGAAACTTCACCTTTAGCTTCTTACTGTTCTCCTGCAGACAAACAAACAAACAAACAAACAGTCAGTGAGCCTGCTGAGCACCGTGATGGAACAGTAAGGACTGTACCGACACTCAGACAGTTCTGTACCTTGGCAGTAGAGCTGGCGCTGGTAAACAGTCTGGAGCTTCTTCTGGGCTGAACATTAGGAGGACCAGACATACTTGGACTAAGGACCTGAGGAGACCCACTGTGAGAGAGGAACTCGTTTACTAAACAACTCAAAAATGACCAACACTAAGTTCAATTTAAGACCTTTTAAGACCATTATGACTGACATTTAAGACCAAACCGACGCATAAACAGAAACATTCAAATGATCCCAGAAATTTAACATAGAAACCTTTTACTGCTATCAATTTAACTCTTAAAGAATATTTAATTTTAAAACAAGAACACTAAATTATTATATCTATGAGACCTTCATATCAACTGCTGTGGACTGCTTCCAACTGGTGCAAAAATCACTGATATCAAGTCAAGTCTCATTGAAACACTTTTCCATGTTTAAACCACAAGCAGTGATTGAACTTTTTTTCCTTTTTTAATTTTTTTTTGGTTGGGGGGTGTACAAGCTGCCAAACAGGTCTAAAAACTGGAAGTAAACTGGGCCATTTTTTCCCTGCAGTTCTCACAGGGTTTGTAGTTTAACCACCTACTAAAACTGGCACTTCAACCTCTGCTTACAGCGCTTTAATCTGTTCGTTAACGCAGACAACGCTTCTCAGGAATGATCGAAAGTAAAAGAATTAAGACTTGACAAAATAAAATTTAAGACCTTGAATGAAAATCTGGACATCTGTAAGGTTTTTTTTAGGCCTAAAATTTTTATTTTCAAATTTGAGAATTTTTTTTAAGACTTTTTAAGGCCCTGCATGAACCCTGGACCAAGAGAGAACAGGTAAATTCGGCTACCTGGTGTGAGGTGCTGAAGTCTGCGACTGGTTGAAGGGAATGGGGAGAACATCTCTGCTGTTACCACTCTGAGCGAAGACAGACTTGGACTGACTGATTCTGGAAACAGACTGGTGGAGAGGCAGGTACAGGTGTGAGAGGAGGCAGGTACAGGTGTGAGAGGAGACAGGTACAGGTGTGAGAGGAGACAGGTACAGGTGTGAGAGGAGGCAGGTACAGGTGTGAGAGGAGGCAGGTACAGGTGTGAGAGGAGGCGTGAGAGGAGGCAGGTA